TCACGCCCATAATCCAGATGGGCAACTCCTTTGCTTGTATGGAGACCCAGCTTATCCACTTCGCCCACAGTTAATGGCCCCCTATCGTGTTGGTGATGTGCAAGTATTAACAGAGGATATGAAAGAATTTAATCGAGCAATGAGCTCCCTCCGAGTTTCTGTGGAATGGTTGTTTGGTGATGTTGCAAACAGTTTTAAATTTATTGATTTTAAGAAAAATTTAAAATTACGGCTTAGTGCAGTTGGCAAGTTTTATGTTGTTGCTGCATTGATGAGAAACATATTAACATGTCTCTATGGGAATACTACTTCAAAGTACTTTCACATTGATCCACCGACCATCGACTCTTACTTAGGGGTGCATAATTAGATGTCCTGGGATTAGGGGGGGGGGGGCATTTGAAATAAAGTGTAATAAACATGTAAATCACAATGGCAAAGCTAGCCATGGTAACTGCTATGCTAATAAACCTGCATTTCTAAATGTTTGAAACTTTGAATAATGCAACTATTACAAATTTGTATAGCATGACTATATATAGCTTTGGCACTGATTGCAGAATATAAAAAACACACAGATAGAAGATATAATACTGGAATAACATGATATTTTCTATTACTGTATGTTGCCAAATTGTACCTTAATTAAGCTATATAACAAGGAAAATGAAAAACATTAACTTCAACTTAAAAACCACAACATTATTGACATTTAATGTCACTTTATATATTAAATAAATGTCACTTTGATAGTTTCTCAATGACAGTAACAAATAAATTTTGTGTATTTTTTTGTGTTTCCATCATTTGCTGTAACTGTAGTTGTTGCAACTGAAATTGCTGCTTCTGTTGTTCAGCTTTAAGTTGTAGTTCTTGTCTTCTGATTTCTAACTCTTCTTTCCTCAGCTCATTTTCATTTGTTGTTTTCTGAACTAAATATTGAATGGGGTCTGTACAACTTCTTTTTCTTTTCCTTGCAGGTTTAGGCTTCTCTCCCAGATTTTCATCACCACTGTCTTCTTCATCTTCAACTTGCTCATCCTCACCATGCTTTGCTGCCTTCTTCCAAGTTGTCATTGCAATTTCTCTGGTAGCAAGTGCTTCCTTTCTCTTTTTTTCTTCATTTCGGGAGTCAACAGCTGGATTCTTAATTGGAGTTGACTCCAGCATCTCGATAATCTCTTCTAATATTTCTTCGTTTTCAGTTGGTGGGTCTGGGGTAATACCTGAAGCTTTTTCTTCCATGGACTTCTTTTTTTTGTAGTTTCCCATTATCTTATTGAATTGATCTCGAACACTACGCTGATCTCGGGGCATGTCATGAAACAAAACAAAACAATTAAGATTGTCGGCTACTAATGTCCACTTTTGTCCTGCTTCTTTGCTTCCGGCCTTGTATAAGAAAGGTTCAGAGACGTAAGCTTCACGCAGAAGTAAGGTGTTCCTTTCATTGCTCCAGCGAAAGGGCCCCCTAAAACCAAGGCATAGTAGATAGTTTTTAAATAAATAAATTTGCATTCAAACCATTAATACCATTTCATATAAAGAATAATTAAATCAGACCATGTGTAACAAATGGCTTGATTATAATGAGTGCCAACTTGGCATTATGAGCTGTCTGAATTTGAGCCAGAAGTCTTAATTTGCTGCCTAGGGTACATCATACCAGCAATTCCATTTAATATACATTACAAACCATTATAATATAACATGCGGAAATTCTGAATGCTGATTGGCTAAGAGCCGTGTTTACATAACTGAATGTCAACACAGAAAAATTTCCCACTGCTCTTTAAATTTATTTTAATGTTGTACAGTATATTTCATTGTGCTATATTATAAAGCAAATATAAAACTTTTTTCCGTGTTGATATACAGTTATATCAACACGAGTGGAAATTGGGAAAACGAGAAATTGTGTGGAAACACGACACCCAAAGGGTAAAACAAGTTTTTACTGTATATATCTAACAAAAATTTCAATCCCTTAAAGGAGAATATGCTAGCTTGTATCTGGATATTAGAACATACCTATATAAGGGTGGGTATATACATGTACATGGGAATAGAGTAAATATCCAATGTGTTTTCTTTTATGTGGTCATTTGAATAGCAAAATCATTGCAAACATAATACATTCATAAGGTTTGTCTCCAGTATGTGTTCTTTTATGTCAACAAAGTTGTGTTGACTAAGCTCAGGTCAATTTGTTATACAGTATATTGATTTATGTATGTTTATCTTGTAGCAATTGTCACAGGTTGATAACATACAAATGATATAATATATATATAGTAATACTAATTGCACTGTATTAACATACAGTTATTAGTAATACCAATCTTGACAATAATGTGATTTGCTTTATATTCCTGGCTAATTTAAAACACATTTCTGATATCACAAGCAAAAAATAGCCATAAAATTCCACTTCCTAAATATACTTTATACCTGGAATTGTTCAAACTTTCACCTTGTCCATCTGGTTTTTCACTAAAACCATTCAAATGGAACACATTAATGTCAAACGTGGTTGATTTGTTGATCAATAACGAGGTTAAAAATTCGATTATTTATATCTTAAAATACGCGCAGTATGAGGCACATTAAATAAAAAAAAAAACATTTTCAATGCTTGATTTCAATATAAATATTGCATCCTGTCCACCTCTCCAACCTTGACTAGTTGTTTTCTTCATTAAAATATTGACTAATAGTATTGTATATACTTTATAGCTCAAACTGAGGGACACTTTCAGAATTTCAGTGCTAATATAATTTTTAAAAACGTTGTTGTTTTCGAAAACGGATACCACAAAACATCACATAACATAATCCAGCATAAAACTATACATTCAAAAATCAGGCACACGATGAGAAAATCATACCTGGCTTTTTCCATGTTCGTTTCCGGTCTTTCCGTTTCGTTTTAGCTGTTAAAATAACTTGAATCACTTTCAAACACGAGTAAAATCTATCTTAAACATTTTGTTTGAACAAAACACAGTTTAAACAAAGAAAAATAAAAAATATAGAGCAAAATTTACTTACGTACTAGAGACTACGTGAAAAACCTGGAAGACTGTCGTAGCGAGCGGGAACACAACGAACAACGTAATTATGCTTGGTCTTGAGCATGCGCAAAGCACCTCTATCCAGTTCTCTCTCGTCCTCATTCGTTGTTCGTTGTCCGTAGTCGCCAATCTTAAAGTCCCTAATATTTTTCTGTGTGAGAGTGTATTAGGATGCAATGAGACTGTCGCAAGATTGATTTTGACGCATATTTAGTGAGCATATGACAAACCAGAAGCGAATGCTCCTTTAATTTCTACCTCATTGTCGAATAGTTTTTGCTTTATTACTCTAAAGGCCCATTTACACGATACGATTAGTTGTATACGATTCTTACTCTGGCGTATGTGATCGAATAAACACGCGTACAAACGTGACATTTCAAATTTCGCCATTTGCGAATGAGCAATAACGTGGCATTAGCACTCGTTTTCATTTGTCAGAATGACAATCGTATACAACTAATCGTATCGTGTAAATGGGCCTTAATACAGTCATAATGTAGCAATTACGGAATTTTTCGACTGTTTTCTAATGCAGGAGAAAAGATAATTAATGAAGATTTGTTGTAATACATTTTCAGACAATCATAGACCAATTTACTCGAACAAACATGACAAATAAAGTATTTTTTGCAACATTTTCATATATACTTCGTAAAGTTGGTCCCCCCTCCCCTGAAACAATTTTGATGAACATTTCAGTCATCATGGCAACTATTGTGGTGTTTGTACCAACAACATTGTAATGGGGCATACGGCTGGATATGCGTATAAATATTTGATTGCATTAAACTTCACCCATTTTTAATCAGCGTCCGCGTGTTATTTGTCTAGGATTGTAGTTCAAAATTGAAGACATTAGGGAATAGGTCATTTACATCTGCTGCTCCAACACTCTGGAATAAACTACCTTTACATATCTGTAACAATAATTTTGTTTTAAGAACATTTTGAAGACTCACTTTTTTTAAGATTGCGTTTAACTAAATTAAACTAATGTCTTTACATATGTGAATAAGTAAGTAAATAGTATATATGTAAATAGGTCAGTCTATATCAATTCTTGTAAAGCGCATTTGATCATATTTACATGCTAATTTGTGGTATATAAGTTTTAATTATTATTATTATTATTGTTTCTTAATGTTTAAAATATGACCTTGTTAAAGGCCAAATTTTAGGACAGAATCCAATGCTTAGAACACAGGAAATTGCATTTCCAGGCTTCAAATTTCAAAAATTGCCCCCCAGACCCCCCTAGTGACCCAGGAATATGCTACGAGACCCAGGAATATGCTACAAGACCCCATACAAGTATGCCATAGATTAAGAAAGGATGTATTAGTGCATAATAGAGGTTATAATAGATTTATATATAATAACGAAGTTTTGATAAAATACCAATACTTCTTTTTCTCTTATTTTCGACAAAGCTAATATGACCCTTCCAATTAAGTTAAGAATCTAACATTACACCCAAGTATTTAATTGAGAGTTCTTGTTTTAATAATTGTTGATTTACAACAATCTGTATGTTTGTTTCTATTTTCCATTGCCTAGGATGAAATATCACAAAATTTGATTTTTCATTATTGAGGGATAACTTATTTACTAGTTGCTGCAAATAAAAGCCAGTTGCTGCAAATAAAAAAGCAGGTGCTGCAAATAAAAACTGGTTGCTGCAAATAAAAACTGGTTGCTGCAAATAAAAAACCAGTTGCTGCAAATAAAAAACCAGTTGCTGTGGATAAGTACTGCAAATTGGTGACCTTACATGAAGTATATTGTACCACAAAAAAAGATGGCAGACAAAACTGTAGAATTCTGTTCACAGTGTGGATTTCATTGCTCAAAAGGTGATAAATTCTGTTCTTCTTGTGGTTGCTCTTTGCTTTCACCAGAAGTATCTTGTAGTAATGCTTCACATGGCATGGGAAAACCTAAGTCAACAATATTATTGGAAGAGTTTCGTAAGCGCAAAGTGGATCTAATATGGCATTGACAATCGCTGCTTCAAGCAACGAGTCTGCGATATTGGAAGGCGTGATTGCTAAATATGCGAGGTTTAATAAAACGTTTAATGGTGTGATTGGAAAAATACACTGCTTTACCCTGATCGCTCTGAAGTTAAATCTATTCTTCCTGAAAGCGATGAACCATTCTCTTGAAAGATACAAAGATGAACTAGGAAAGCCTTATTCTCGAATTACCCTTCATTTGTCGGGTAACTGATTTCTTGACCAGTACGCTTCCACAACTGCCAGATTCTGATGAATCATATGATATTGATGATCAGGATACTGTTGATGTTGGAACCATGTACAAGTGCTTCATGTAGCAGCAACCCTGCTCCGATATCTGTTAGCAGAAGCTGTTTAACAGCTGACATTGATAAAATAGAAAACAGTGAAGTTAACATTTTAGCTAGCCCAGAAACATCATTAGTTAGAGTTAAGTGCCCTACTTGCTTTGATTTTTTTGAAATCAGTGAAATTGCTGATCATGCTGATTGTTGTACTGACATTTGGATAGGAGAAGTAGAGCATTGCAATGACTTTGAAAATGTCCCAGATAGTCCAGATGAAGTACAACAAATACCTGAATTACAGCAACTGCCAGAAGGAACAGAGCAAGGAACAGTTGAACAAAATATCAAAAGCATATTAGCAGAACTAGCTGAAAGAGAAATATCTGGTCAGGCACAAATTAACATAAGAAAAACATTAAGCAGTTGCGACATATCAATATTCGATTTTTCGCATATCGAAAATATCGAAAGTTGTAACTAAACAACTTCATCTCCAATTATTTGGCAATTATTGTTTTCACCAGTGATGTTTAGACAATGTGCGTATGGTGGCAATTGCAAATTTATTGTACAAGTGTGTGTGCAATTGGAATTAAAAGCCAAAACAGAGAAACTGTGACCACAAAAGATCACCAAGCAGTGGCATTGAATGCTTGAAATCTTATAAACATTATATATATTTTAAGCTTAACATTATACAGGGTGTCTCAAAATAAATGCAATGGAAATTCAACAGGCTGTCGTGCGTCATAAACATGGCTAAACAATTTAATTTTTACATAGAACGAAAGAACAGTATTTAGCTTTTTGATATACTCTTTTTAAATTGTAACAATGAGAAATGGCCACATACTTGTCAAATACAAATTGCCGGTCAAAATCACATTCTTCCACCGTTGGGAATTGCATGGAAAACGAAACAAACAATTCCCAAGAGGGAATTAAAATTGAATGTTAAATTATTTAAAATAAGCTCAACTCATCAATCTTCGTCTTAGTGAGACCATAAGAACGTCCATTATTGCATTAAACATGGTTCAATTAACCCCTGAACAGAGAACATTCGTAATCAAAACGTATTATGAAACAAGTACCTTGCAGCAGACTCGTGGTGCTTTTGCATTGATTAACTTTGCATAATTGACGAGTATGTGACCATTTCTCATTGTTACGGTTTAAGAAATATATCACAGAAATGCTAAATAACAGCTCTTTCATCCTATGTAACTAGGGATCCAAGGATAGTGCAGAGTTTCAAAGACACACGCTATAAGGCATGCTTATTAACTGAATAGCTTTTCAAGCGTGGTTTATAGCCTTAATCACATGTCATAGTAGCGTGCGGAACTGTTACATCAGTAAAAGTCCGCTAGCTGATATGGACGGAGGGGTCCATATACGCGGGGAGTCCAAATTTGCTGTGACACCGGTGATGTCAGTCAATTCACAAAGTGCATTCAAAATAACGGTCAATTCAATATCCCCACCCTCGGAGATGGTTTTGATCAAATTTCCAAGGTTGGGAAGAAAAATCAATCAAATGCCCCACATATGCCCAACCTCCCCCCCCCCCCACCCTGGGGCTTAACATTGATAGGTGTTTTGCAAAATCACTAATTTTTCCATGTTCAAGCAACAAGGTAGGAAGGATCAAACAGCCGAGCAAGGGTGTAAATTTCGAAGTGATCACCACTCCTTGAGACCCTCTTCAGAGCATGTGGTGTCAGTCTGTCACTACTTTATTGCATTGGTATAAGTCGAATGCACTGAATATTAGTAAACACAAAAATATTTTAATTCATACGTTAATCCACTCTCTTTTATAAGAAAATATAACATATATATATTACAGTTAAGTATCACAATTACCTTGTCATCATATTGCTTCATAATTCCTAGAAGGTTTCGATAAATTTCCATGTTTTAGAATCTACTTCTTTATGATTAACTGTATTGTTACATGAAATTATTGTATAATGTAGAGTAGGTTGACTAAATCGATGAACAAATTTAAATCTGAAAATTTGATGTACTGAATCTGAGACGTAATACAAAAGAATTTTGAATTGTTGACAAAGCAATGGATCCCAATTGAATAACTATAATGCCACATACATTGCTAGTGATCTGCCAGCTCATATCATTTATTTTTTAAAAAGAAGTTACTATACAGTTTTAAGAGCATTTTTGTTTAAGAAAATCGATTTTTTGAAACAAGTGCCACTTTAAATGAGATGTTTGAAATTATAATTCTAAAAAATGCTTTAATATGGGCAAATTCAACTTTAAACTGAACCCTCCAATTACAAATTAAACCTCCTTTTTGGGAGCCCCAAGGGAATTATTACATGTGATTAGCCCTCACCCATAGAAGTTACAGACACATTTTAATTTTTTCCGCATTCATTTCATGTTACTGGTTATCTCCCTACAAAATGCTTGTTAACCCCCCTGGAAATGTAGAAATACATGCACACCCTTATCACAAAAATGAGAAGGTCGATAACTGCCATGATTCGTCAATCGACAAAATGCTGTTGCCGGCTAGGACCATTACACTAAAATCATAGGCAGGGCAAACAAGTCAACTTTCTGTGGGGTTCCTATTATTGTTTCCCTTAGCCCTCTCACTTCAAATTCCAGTTGGGGATATTAAAAATTGCAATTGCCCAAGTACAATGTGTAAATATATTTATATACTACCTTGTCTTTGTATTAATTCCGACTCTATGTTTTCTATATGATTGAAACAACATGAATGATATACATAGGACCATGTAAAACGGTTTGGAATTTCCTTAGAATTTGTAATAAACCAACCTCGCTCTAAAGATGAGCCAAGCATTTTTACTCCATTTTTTTTCCGAATTGACGATTATATTCCGGCAAATTATGATTGGGTTCCCGGATTATCATTGATATGTATCAATGACATGTTAATAGTTGGTCCTGTTGCACTTTTCTGCTTCGCGTGAAAAGTGGTCTTCTCTGGGGACTGTATACTATCACCGTACAACCAAATAATACGCGCAGACAATTCCTTTTACAAATTCATTAAAATAAAACAATCATAACGTCTCCAATTCTTAAAACCGTACAATCTTACAAACACAACCTTTCTTGATAAAACTCTAAAACCCACTCTCTTACAATCTCTAGCGTCAATATTTTCCGCCGTCCGGAAGTTTATTGTCTATTGTTTGAGCGTAGACAACGCATTATAGTCTAACTAAGATATCAACTTACAACCATTTAAAAAGTAATATAAACCATAACATAAAGTATTTAATATTTACAAGGATTTATCCGATACACTCCCCTCTTTGAGCCTTTAGGGTCAAACAAAACCTGCATTCGCCAACATGCAACCTGGGCCGCAGCCCTTCTGGGTCTCCTACTACTGCCTTCAGTACTCACCTTGTCATTCTTAGTTATCTCTTCTTTCCCCTTGTCTACACTCTCACACTTCTCACTGATCTCTTCAACTATCTCTTTCTGTATACTTACCCTTGTATCCACTTCCAAAGGATATAACTTCTGTACAGGTCTGTTAATAAACGATGTACGTCCTTTACTTACCACCTTCACCTTCGCTCCTCTCACTACCTTGTCCCTTCCTAATACTAAACTTTCAATTTTTCCTACCCTCCAACATCCTCTTTTAAGATTTTCATCAAACACTAATACGACATCACCCACCTTTGCATCTGAACTCTCATTTCCTTTCCTAACTTTATGAAATTCCCTTAAATTCGTTAAATATTCCTTTCGCCATCTCCTCCAAAAGTGCTTCCTCATTCTTGCCAAATACCTAAATCTTCTATTTACCTCTCCAATTTCGTCATCACTTACCTGATTGGTAATTTCATCTGGCATTGAAGTAAGTCTACAACCAAATATCAGATGCGAAGGTGTTAGCACATCTGTCTCTACCTCCTCATATAAATATGTCAATGGTCGAGAATTTAGAGTACCTTCAACCTCGACCAACGTCGTCAACAGTTCCTCAAAACTTAGCTTAGCATTCCCAAGCACCCTTCGCAAACAACCTTTCACCAGACCCACCATTCTCTCGAAAAATCCACCCCACCATGGGGCCCTCTCCAAATTAAATCGCCATTCTAATCGATTATTCTCTAAATAGGACTTCACTTCTTTACTATTGTACAACGCCTTTACTGCCTTTTGTGCCGCCTTGAATGTCTTAGCATATGTTTCATCATCTAAAATGTCTTTCTCACTTGCTCTCTCTTCACTTTGTTCTATTCTCTTTAATAACTCTTTGCTGTTACTAAGCCACTTTCTCAGTCTAAATCCACCTTTTTCTAACCCTTCACTGGCCTGTTCATACAATAAAAATGCTTCATCACTAGTCTGTTCTCCTGAAACCAAATCGTCTACATAAAAACAGTCTTTCAATTTCCTAACAAGCTCCGGATCCTGACTTTCAAGACTATCTAAATGGTATTGTAATGTTGCATTCAACAAAAACGGGGAACAATTAACACCGATTACTACTCTACAAAATCTGTACTCTACTGGCCTAATCTCTTTATCCTGAACGTCTTTCACCCAAATAAATCTTAAGCAATCTCTATCTAGTGTGTCAACCTCTACACTTAAAAAGGCTTTCTCTATATCTGCAACTAATGCAATCCTCTTCTCTCTAAATCATAACAAAATATGAAACAACAATTGTGCTAATTTTGGCCCTATGTGAAGACACTCATTCAGAGATGCCCCTTTGGGAGATTCTTTACAAGAAGCATCATATACCACTCTAACCTTCGTGTTCTTTGCATCCTTTCTAACTACTGCATGATGTGGAATATAGTGAATCTTTTCAGCCCTTTCTAACTCAATCACTGGCTCTATTATACCCTTCTCTAGTTGTTCCTTAATTACACTATCATATTCCTCCAAAATTTACGGTTCCTTCTTCAACCTTCCTAATTGACCTTTCAATCTCTTTAAGCTAATGTTGTAATTACTTGCTAATGCACTATGACCTTCCTTCCAAGGTAACTTTACACTGTACCTTCTGCCATTAAACTTAATTGAATCTTTTAGAGACTCATGTACTTCATCTTCCTGTCTAATGCCTAATGTTTCAAAATCCCATAAACGATGTATACTCTCATCAAGTTTTGTACAACTTGAGTTATCTTGCACAAGAAAATTTACATCGACAACATGCATACTATTTGTTTCATTACCACTACCACTTACCTTCATAGGACCAGACAATACCCAACCTAACCTTGTTTGCACTGCCATAGGCTCGTCAGCCTTCCCTCGCACAACATTTCCTTCCTGGAAACACCACAGATAATCAGCCCCTATCAACACCTCTATTTCTAACACTTCATTTTCCTTACAAACATCAGAAAACCACAATCCCTGCAAATGCGAATAATCCCTTTTCTTCAACTCTACATGCTCATTTCTGATTTGTGAAACATACTCTACACCGTATGCCTCAATCTTCACACTCTCTCCCCCCGTAACTGGCAAAACTTCTAACTCAAAAACGTCATGCAATTTTCCCTCTGCCTTCTCTTGCCCAAATGATTTGATTTCAATCCACTCCTTTCTCTTAGCTGGAACTCCGGCTGCATTAACTACCTTTCTACTCACAAAGGATTTGTGACTTCCTGTGTCAAAGAGTACTCTGACCCTTGGACTACCCTTCACTCCCTTCACTAAAGCTTGTGCTGTCTGCAATGCTACCCTACTTTGAGAACCCAGAATGGAATGATTGGATTGAACATGGTCAGTAGGAACCCCAGTACCCTCACAAACAGACCTATGGTGTTGTTTCCCGCATGCATTACAATTAACATTACTAGAACAATTTTTACTAATATGTCCCTTTTTCAAACAAATAAAACATTGTCCGTACTTACGAATAAGTTGCTTACGCTCATTAATATCTGTTATCTTCTTGCAATTTTCGTGCGAGTGTTCTCCCAAACAATATGCACACGTTATACGTCCGTAATTCCCATGACCTTGCCTCGTAAACAGAGCGGCAGCAGATCCCCCAGCATGTCCATATATATTGTTCTTTTGCCTTTCGTGGTTCTCGGGTTTTTCTGTTGTTGGCTTGTGTGCTTCCCGTAGTTCAATTTCTTTTAGAAAAGCATCCATAACTTCTGTCATCGGCCATTCGGCTGATGTCAAAAGTTTGTATCCCTAGTTATAGTCAATTGAAAGGACTCGGGCAACTTCTCCAGGATTTCCGGCACTACGATAGTTGAATAGGTGGTTTCGTCTACCCCTAGGGCTTTCAACCCTCGGTAATTTGTCTCGCACGTATCATATAGCTTCCGTAATTTCTCTGTGTCTCGGTCATTACAAACTGGTTTCATGTTCATCAGTTCCTGGATGTGCGCCTTTTGTATTGTGTTTTTCTTCCCGTAGGGTCTCTTGAGTAGATCTATCGCCTCGTTATAGTTGGTGCGCCGATGTAAGTGCAAACCCCGAAATAGCTGATCTGGCTGGCTCAATCAATAGGCTTCTCAAGTACGCGAACTTGTTGACATCCGCTAAGCCTTCGTTTTGGTTTACGGCGCTGTCAAACGAGTCCCAAAACTCTTGCCACTCTTGCAGTTTGTCACCAAATTTTTTTACTTCCAGTTTCGGGAGTTTAGCGCGAATAATCTTTTTTGTCTCACTAGACAAGCTGCTGTTCAATGTAGTATCATCTGTCACTGTTGCGCTTTGAACAATGGCTTCGTTTGTCACATCGGATATGTCACGGATAACCTTTTGCATGTCCGCTATAATGTCGTCTGACTCCTCGATTTCTTTAGCCAGTTCCTCTTCTGCGTCTTCATCTTTACTGTCACTTAACAATTCGATGATCATTGCGTCGAGATTCTTTAAGGCTTCGATCTTATCCTTTAAAGTGTCTCGCAGTTGTTTCAAGGCATTTTTGTCTGTCTCGCACTCGCTGTTGTAGTTCGTCAATTTTTCTTTTATCTTTGAGACAATCTTTGTTGCTGAACCTCTATGTCCTGCGCGTATACGTTTTTTCTTTGTTAATTCATCCATCATTCAGGGCAACTATCCGGCTCGACTGGACCAAGTGTTGCACTTTTCTGCTTCGCGTGAATACAAGCAGTTGCGCTTCAGCTGGTTTTCTTCTCTGGGGACTGTATACTATCACCGTACAACCAAATAATACGTGCAGACAATTCCTTTTACAAATTTATTAAAATAAAACAATCATAACGTCTCCAATTCTTAAAACCGTACAATCTTACAAACACAACCTTTCTTGATAAAACTCTTACACCCACTGTCTTACAATCTCTAGCATCAATATTTTCCGCCGTCCGGAAGTTTATTGTCTATTGTTTGAGCGTAGACAACGCATTATAGTCTAACTAAGATATCAACTTACAACCATTTAAAAAGTAATATAAACCATAACATAAAGTATTTAATATTTACAAGGATTTATCCGACAGGTCCGTTTATAGTTAGTCTGTTTGTCGTCAATGTATCAGTAATGAGCGAGTGATTTCTGCTAGGCAGTTCACTTTCGCCTCATTAAAACAGAAATAAAACTCTAGAGACATATAAAACACTATTTATAGAATAAAAATTAATATGAGCATAAGGATTACATGTTTATAATTATATATTATATATTTTTATTAAATTGAATGTATGTAAATTGATTATTTAAATTAATTAAATTTAATGGTATGACAAATAATTATAATTATTTATTACAGAATTTCAGATATAATTTCAAGTTCTTATGAGGGTGACTTCCCACTAGTCCGAAGGTTCACTAGTCTGAAGGTTCACTACTCCGAAGGTTCACTAGTCCAAAACATACGCTGGTTTTGAATTGCAATTATGTGTTAGACTTGGCTGCTTCGCAGTTAAGCATTTTTTGCACCTGCATACACGCACATAAAATTTAAATCCACTTGAAAGTCTTTTGTCCATTTAAGAAATAATTAAATGAATAAAAGGATAGCATTTAGTTTTGTGTTTGATTTTAAATGTATTTTTTAAGTAATTATAGTACATATACCAGTATAAAATTTAGAAGATTTAAACTTTTCTGAGTGTATATATGTTGGAGACAGGTCAAGTTTTAATATCTCATAGTTAATATTAGTTATCTTGAAAGTCCTGTTTGTTATTTTGTTTTAGTCTTTTCGTTCTTCGTTTATGTCCATGATATGAAAGAAAAGGTATTCGTTGTGATTTGTCTAGAAGGATAGTTTAAAGATTTAAGTTGAAGGGAGAAAAGTTTGCATACAAAGTTATAATCATCAGGAGTAGAGGAAAGTCTGCTGTATCTAATAGTTTCAGTTATAATAATGCCAGGAAAGATATGTGAAGGATGGTTGGAGGAGAAATGAGGATACATGTATTTGTGGTTAGGTTTTTGATATACTTGATGAATTTTATTGTATAGGAGAGTATGATAGTCGAGTGAAATGGTCAGATCGAGGTAATGGACACAATGCTGATTGGATGTAAGAGTGATTGGAATTTGCTTTGAATAATAAGAGATGAGGTTAGTGATAATGTCTAGTGGATTAGTAATATTAGTAGTAACAAATAACCGTTGTCAATGTAATGTGAAAAAATAGGATGTTTAGATGTCCTGTTGTTAGTAAAATAATAAAATTTGCTAATAAGAAGTACAAGGTTGGCGATTTGTGGAATGTGAATGTTTTTGGAATGGAATAGATCTTTAAATTGTTTGATGATGTTGTCGAGTTCTGTGCCTAGTAGTTTTGAAACGTTTGAAGTTGTCCATGAATGTGCAGTGATGATTGGTCTACCAGTTAAAAGATCGAGGTTACAAGAAGCAGTTGATGCGAGTTTGTGTACTTTAGGTAACAGTTTCATGTAAGGTATTCGAATAATAATAATAACTTTATTCATACAAAAATACCATTACTGATATGTCGAATTACAAACAAATAAACTGATTACAATATATGGAAAATGAGCTTAAGATACAAACTTACAAATGGTCAAATGTTTTTAAAATATCATAACAGAATTTAGCAATTAGTAAATCGTTAAACAAGCTCCGGATGAAATTGAAATTGGTATTGTTGCAAAGCAGAAGTCCTCCTGTTTTGAACGATGCAATTTCTGTTTCTGTGCGATGTATAGTTTGAGAGATATAAGCGTTTGAAACAACACCACTCGAAATTGCTACTTTTCCACCGGATGGGAATGAGTTAACCTAGTTCTATCAAATAAATGGTTCTTCACTCAGACTCTGTCGTGTGAGTATGATCGACTAAGAAGTATATATAGTGCGCTCGGGCCTCGGTGATTAATACGCCTGTTGTGAAAACATAATTTCTTGACTGATAAGGCCAGAAAGGAATTAAATTAATTACGGCCTAGGATAGTTTTCATTTGATGCAGCTAGTTGTGACCAGTGACTAAGGAATACATTGTGCGCATGGTGATGGTAAATCGTTGAATGGTGATGTCATTGCATTGATTTAACCAACGTATGGCATCTACATAACACAGATATATATAGATTTTGTTTAAATTATCAAAAAATCCCAATTCAATGCAGTTGAAGCTACCATTGTTTATAGTATTTACAGATAGGAAGAGCACACTGTGTCACACTGCATACATCATCACGACCTTTTGGCCGCGCCAGGAATTTCATCAGCCAAAATTTTCATAGCCCAACTTTAAGCTAAAAAATTCACAAACTTCTAGTTCGAAGTTTTCAACAAAGTTGGTTTTAAAATGATCAGAAAAGATGAAATTTTCAGATAATGCAAAAATCAGAAAATCGAAATTTTCATTGCATATACACTTTAAATAGTGTTGTTCATTACCAACCTCATTCAAGTCACAGTGGCTACAAATTCTCTCCTCATATGGGATATTGTTGTAGCGACCAACTTCAACTTGTAATCTGTGGGCTGAGATTCGGAGTTTCGTAACTGCTTGGCGACGTTTTATATTGTTAATTTCAAAAATATATTTTTCTGGGTCAAGACTTAAAAGTTCTTAGTTTGCCCTGATTACCACCTTGTTGAATTTGTTCTTTCCAGTAGTTAATATAAAAGTTTTTTAATTGAACAAAATCGCTGTTTACATTTTCATCACATAGTTCTAACAAATGTGTTGTTAAAGCTACTGGTTGTAAGTTCATGACTATACAAACATTTCTTGCTTCACCAACGAGTGTGTCGTTAAATGACTGATCGTTAATACGCAACCAAAATTTAACCATCATGGTGTATACTTGGAGGATTAAAGGCATTCTGCCTAACTCAGCATAGACAGCTAGATTCGTCAATTTCAAATGAACTCCCATGATTCGTTTGCAGAATTTTAAATGTAACTTTTCAGTAGCATTCCGTTTTTTTAACATTTTATTCTTAAATTGATCAAAGCGATCTATTTTACCAAGTAAATAGGGACCCCAAATATCACAATTGTATAATAAAATTGGGGATATAACGGTAGAGAAAAGTTTCAAAAGTGTTTTAGTCTGTATATTTTCAATATTTGAGAAACTGTGGAATATAGAGTGGTAGGCTCGTAAGGCTTTATTGTATAAAACTTTTTGGGCTTGTTTAAAATTACCTGAATAGTGGAGGTGATTCCAAGATATGAGTATTCAACTTGTTCTAGAGTATTGTTTTCAAATACCCAATTTGATGTTAAGTATATACATCTTTGAGTTGATGTTCCAAATACTAATACTTTAGATTTCTTTTTATTTATTGTTAGTTTCCACATTGTTGTGTATGACTGAAGTTTAGTTAAGCAATTCTGTAGACCAGATTTTGATTCAGATAGTATTACTAAGTCGTCTGCATAGAGTAGACAACTCAAATCAATATTACCAAGTTTGACCGGATCGCACAAGCTATTGAATAAGTTTGGTATATCATTTACAAAAATGTTGAAAAGTGTAGGACTAAGATTACAACCTTGTTTAACTCGTATATATGATTTAAAGAAAGGAGTAATTCCCTTGTTTAATTTAACAGATGAATTTACCGGAACAGTACATACTTAACATAAGGCCTATGAATTTTTTGCTGCAACCATTTATGATTAATTTGTAATAGAGACCCTCTCTCCAAACGCTATCATAGGCTTTCCTAAAATCGATGAAACAAGCAAAAATCGGTTTACGTTATAATTTATATGTATCAATTAATGTTTTCAAAACCAAAAGATGATCTGCTGTTCTGTAACCTTTCCTGAATCCAATTTGGCACTTGTTTATAATTTCTTTATTTTCCAAAAAGTCATTAAGGCGTGTATTCATTATTGATGTGAACAATTTTGCTAAACAACTGCTTGTACAAATTCCTCTGAAGTTATTGGGGTCATCAGTATTACCTGATTTATGTAATGGCACTATAAACCCTTTACACCAAACTGAAGGAAATACGCCCTGAGAAAGGATAAGGTTGAATAAGTTAACAAAGTATGATGGTAAAATTTCCACTGACAATTTAATGATTTCATTCGATAATGGATCATTGGCGCATGCTTTTTTATTTTTCAGTTTTTTCGAAATCTTGTATAATTCTTCAGTGGAAATCGGTCGATCAAGAACATCAATTTTTTGTGCTGCCCACTTATTGTAATCTTTAACAATTTTGGCTTCAGTACTTGACTCCTTTGAGCAAAGATGCTCATTCTTATTGAGGTTTTTGAAATATTCAAACCATTCAGAAGATGATATTTCATTATGGTCTTTAGACTTCTGACTAGTCTTAATAGAATTTACTAACTTCCAATACTCATTGGGGTTATTGTCGGCTAAAGCTTATTTTTTTCTAACATGGTATTATGGAACTGTCTTTTCAGTTTCCTTAATAAACATTTATATATATATATATTTTTTTGAGAAAAATGTATGTTTTAGATATGCATTATTTGGATATTTAGTAATCAATTTACCTAGGTTTCGAAGATTCTTTTTGAGTGTATGACAGTTCTGACTGAACCATTTTTGTCTTTGTTTTGGAATGTTTTTCTTATTAACTTTTCTACGTCCCTTCATTTTTAACACTTTACTACGTGAGGCACTCAGTATTTCCGTACATTCATTCACAATGGAGTTGATATCACAAAGAGTTCCTGAGGATGTTTGAAAAAACAACTGTTCTAGTTTAATCTGAACTTCCTTGGAATCTAAAACAATCCCCAGGTTGTCTTTTAGGTTCTCATTCCATGAAAACGATTCAGGGTGAGGCATTATGTTTATATCATCTTCTGAAAAATTGGGGGTTTTTGCACTCAACACAAAGGATAAACAAGAATGGTGGGAAAATTCATTAACATTGTCAACAGAAAAGTTAATAATTGATTTTAAGAGGTCATAAGAAGCAATACCATAGTCAACTACACTTGCTCCATTGTACGTGTGGCAAGTGTACTGACCAGTGAAGTCTCCTTTAGTTCTCCCATTTAGGATAATCAGGTTGTTGCCAACACATAAATGTAATAATGATCTTCCATAATTATTAGTGTGTGAATCTTTTGAGCATTGTTTTTCGATTGCAATTGGAATTTGAAAATCGTTTTCAGGAAATTTGTTGTCAATAAAATCATTAAGTGTCCCCGTTCTTGTGTTAAAATCTCCACATAAAAGGATTTAACCTAGTGTTCCAAATTTATAAATCTTTTCTTGAAGACATTCGAAATGGTCAATATTAATTCTTAATTCTTAATTCTCGGGAGGAGTTTTGTGGAGGTACATAAACTGAACATATGTAGACATCATGGGACATTTTAAAAAGGATTTATCTAACTTCCACCATACAAACTCTTCACAACTATCTTTCTCTAAAAAAATGTTGCTGTTTCGTGTATATTTATGATCTGACGGTACTGTACAACAAAATTATACGTGTACTAGAAATGTGGGAGAGCAACATTGAATGGGGGGAGTGGGGGAGGTGCAAAATGATTTTAAAACCCAAGTATATTAAAAAGTTGGGAATTTTTTTTTTGAAATGATGTTCTCTAAATTTTCCAATCGGTTATTGTATGTTTTAAAATATTCAAGAATACGTGGAATATCGATTTTATCGTGGTTTTCTTCACTTGGTGTGGTTCTGGATTTGAGTTTGTTATGGCGTCGCTTCTTGTTGTTAATTAATGGTGAGGAAATCCTGGATGAAGTGTGGTGGGATTTTCGTGGCTTTTCTTGTGTTTTATGTGATGATTTTGTTGTCGGAGTTTGTTTAGGTGCGATTTTGTCCTTCATTTCACTTTTGTTTTCCGAATTTGTGTAGATGTCTAAGGAAACTCCTTCGAGATTAATATTAATATAAAATACCTTGTCCTATATCTGACTAATCAGCTGTTGGTTCATATTGTTTATGGAACATAGTTTGGATACTAAAGTTTTCAATTTGTCTAATTCATTTCTTTTCCATAGATCGACATAGTCTCCTTGGATAACTATTTTCTTAGTGATTAGGCAAATTATGATTGAGAATAGTGACTTACTTTGTTTGTCGTCTTCGCAATTACTATTAGCGAGATTGATTATAATCTCAACCAGATCACTGTCGTCGTTCAGGTTCCTTTGCCAATCGACTTTGTATTCTTCTTGATTGCCAAAATCAATCCAATATCGGAACTTAAAGGCTAGGATCCATTTTTCTAAGTGTCCTTGGCTTTGTGGTTCTAGTTGAACAGCTCCGGATGTGTGAGTATGATATTTGTCAGACTCGTGTTCACTCGGATTGTTTAGAATATCTTGCGTTATCTCAACTGTATAAGAACTCAGCTGATCCTCCGGGTTATCTTCCATGTTAACTTGTTAAGTAGCATCAAATAAGTTAATAGAAGGCATTTTAAAAACACTAATACAGTTGGTATATGTGGAGAGTAAAATTAGCGTGTTACCTACATGATACATGAATGTTGTTAATGTCAGCAGGGTTTAGTAGTTTACGTTTGTCTGACATGATGTGATAGTGAAAACGTGATTTAATTTGTATAAAAGCTTGTTACTGTCTGTAATGTGATGTTCTATGTTAAAGTTGTCAATAAGAGTGTATGTGTATGTGTTGTTAAGATGTTGTTTGTATTTGTTAGTAAACCATGTAGGTACAAGTGCGCCCATCCCATGTTTTTGTCTGTTTGTGTTACAATAATGTCTGGGTTGTTTTCTAGTTGCGTAGTGTGTTGAAGAGTAGACGAGGAAACATTAAGAAGATGCGAATGAGTAATGTCATTAAGGTCAGTATCTTGTAAAGTATTGTTTGGTATAAGCGGAGGTATTATGAATGTACTCTATGAGATTATAATTAAAATTAGGTTTGCATTGCTCTTCTTTTAGTAGAGTTGTAGGTGATTTCTTCGTATTGGTTATGTTCTTCTTGGATTTATTGTGGCTTTGTTTATTATTAGTGGATATGAAGAAATCATTCGTTTGTGGCACTCATGTCAAAATAAAAATTTTGACATGAGTGCCACTTTAACAAAACAAAGTTTTTACTACAGTATAAACGAATAATTTTATACATCTACTGTATCATTTGTTTCCACCACAACCTGAAGGGCGGGCAACCCTGGGGGACTTGATAACAAATTGCGGCCTGACAAACTTGTGTACTGGCTGGACATCTTGCCTTGCAGCACGTTTCATGCTGCAGGAGACTGGGGCGACCCTTTCAACCTCATGCTAGACATTTTTCAAAATAAGTTGTTTTCAAGATGGATAACAGTTCAAGTGCTGAAATAGAGATGTTTTTAAAGAAACAACCTTTCAGATGTGGCAGAGATATTCAAAAGTTAGTTTTTTTAAAATATCCAATAGAACATGTTTTTTGTGTGTGACTAAATCCAATTTGACAAAACAAATTACAAAATGTCATATGTCTGTGGATTTGCCTGCCCTCCAGGGCGGGGGGGGGGGGGACAAATGATAGGTGCCTTATATCAACAGAATAATAATTCAGCAAAGTGTATATTTGATAACTTGACCAGTTGACTGTAGTTTAATAATATGTTCAACAAATAAGTTAAATGGTTAACTTTATCAAATCTGCAGTTATTCATATATGTTACAGTGGCGTGCTGGCAGGGGGGGCCGGGGGGCCACGGCCCCCCCAGCTGGCAATTCTTGGGGGGCGCAAAAATGAGAAGGGGGCGCCGTCCCGTGCGGAATTTTGAAAGTGGGTGGGTAAAAACGCATTTGAAAAAATATAGTTACTTCCGTCAAGAAGTATATATTTATATAGGCTTATAAACAGATCGAGACTAAGCGCATAGACGACAAAGTGATATATTAAATTACAGACTATTTGGTCTAACCGTATTTGCTAATTTGCTACTTCACGGCTCACACAAAATCGTTCATATAGAAACATGATCAGTGATCACACACAATGTCTCATTACCGGAATATTGGTCAGGTTTCGAAGCGATCACGGGAATTATGCCTTTTTTGCTGGTATTATGCCCTTATATTATGAAGGTATTATGCTTCACGAATCACGAGAGCGGCGCAAATTAGATAGTTATGATAATGTAAGTTGTATACGCAATTTAGTTGTTTGTGCAAGAAACATCATGACTCATGAGTAATGTAAGTGATAAGATAATGCTGAAAAGCACCCTTTTGGCAGCCAAGCAAGGTAACCTTAAAGTGCATATGCGTGGGGTCCGTGTGTTATTGTATAAAAGAGCTGTATGTTGTAAATATATTCAGATCACCAGATCAGTAGAGAATAGAATTGGGATTAGATTAATCGCTGGAACTGGGTTAGCATTGCCCAATTTAAGTACTACTACTACTATATATAATTCTAACCAAATTGCAAATTTCAACACGTTATAATGCCGTTTCCTGACCATCAGATTTCTGTCAAACCTTCCCCCCAAAGTCCAGGAAATGGCATTTCAGAGACCCTGAATTCAAAATTTTTCCGAGGGGGCATGCCCCCGGACCCCCCTAGAGAAACCTCGCACCTGCGGCGCTCGGCTCGTGCCTTCGACACTTGTTTATCAAGCGTTACAATATAGGGGCGCATATTAGTTGAAAGCCCACTGGCCCCCCCAGAAAATTAGTACCCAGCACGCCACTGATATGTTATGAATGTTATGAGCAATTTTGATTTGTTTTTGTTTGTTTGTTTGAAAGAAAAGAAGATAATAATCAACTGATTGGATTCAACAGATATTTTAGAACAATCCCACTTATTTTTTTGCTGCTTATTTTTTTTATTAGATTATAGGCATATCAACATAATGGTCCTCTCATTCCAAAACCTTCAATAATATTTTATGCGACATGAACTTTAAATTTGGGATACTGTTCCAAATACTTACCCCGATTCTTGAGAAAGATTGTTTTTGCTGATTTAATCTCAAGTAATTGACAAACATTTTTGCCAGATAAAGACCTAGTATTATGATCATGTATGTTACTTACACTTGTAAATAATAGCAAAATATTTTTTGGAGCAATATTATTAAATACATCATGCATTAAGATCATAACTGATTTAAAATAGAGCATATTCAAGGGAATTATTTTAGAAGAGACAAATGCAGGAATTGTATGTGCTCTATAGCTCATAAAAATATAAGTGTAATATACAGTAACTTTTCTAATAATTGAGTAACTGATAAAACACAGATAATATTATAAGTATTATACTATTATGAGCCCAGATTAAACTAAATATAAAAGAAATAGACGTATAAAATACGACTAAGGCCGAAATGTACAATCATTACAAAATGCTGCCACAAGAAAATCGTTTCTAACATTTTCATTATTTCAACAATTATATATACTAGTCTTTAAACTGTAATTCATCACATAAATCATCTATTATAAAAGCCGAAGTCTATACCTGTACGGCAAAACTTCACTTTGTAGGCGCAGTAACATTAGAAAAACATTGTTTATTTTATTCTTTTGGTCATGGTGACGACTTAAAACGATTTTGAAACAAAAGGTAATTTTAAGCTAAATAAAAACATGGCCTTTTTGAAAATACAATCATAATTTAATACATGATTGATTGATCGACTTCCTTGACAATCATTTACTAGTGTTTGCATTTTGTGCATGGTGAAAAGTAATAAGATTTATTTTTTTAAGGATTTAAACTCGCTTGGCAAAAGTTTGTTCAAATATGTTGAAACAAGTGTTTCATTGGTGGGCAATATGGGGTCACAACAACAGGCTCCCAAGCGCGGTGTGCAAAATCTCAATAATTCGTTATCAAATACGCCCTCTAAGTCAGTTCGACCAAAAATATCTAAACCTAACGAGAATAAGGAAGGAATAAAAGAAGAAATAAGTCCTGATGTATCGTCTATGTTCGAAACAATTATGAGTAAGCTTGGTAAGCTTGATATTATAGACAGCCGTATGCAGTCTGTCGAACATGAGCTGAAAGAAATGAAGAAATCTCTCGTTCGTCCACGCAGAGGTCGAAGACCTAAAGAAAGACAACGAAAAGCTGAAGAAAACAGACGTAGAAACACAAAAGAGGCTCCAGAGTTTAGAAGAACAAAACACTATTTTAAACAATCGCGTCATTGACCTTCAGGCAAGGCCAATGCGCGATAACCTGGTATTTTATAATATCGAAGAAAATGAGGAAGAAAATACGACAGAGACCCTCCAGAGTTTTCTAGAAAGTCGTCTGGGTATAGAAAATGCAAAATCTATAAAGATTGATAGAAGCCACAGGATGGGAAGAAAACAGCGAGGGACAAAGCCACAGGCTATAGTTGCCAAATTCAATTATTTCCCAGACAGAGAGCGTGTATTGTCCAACGCAAAGAAATTGAAAGGCACTAATCTGGCAGTATCGGAACAGTTCCCAGAGGAGATTGTGAAAATACGCAAGTGGCTTTTCCCAGAATATAAGAAAGCGAGAGTTGAAGGCAGAAGAGCTAAGTTGGTAAAGGGACAAACTTTACATTGATGGGCAGCTATTCAGGGAAGCAAATTCAACATCATCATAGAGTCAAATTTCACAATGTTATTGCTTACTTATACAAGCCTAGTCTTTTCTCTTTTTATGTAGTACACTATGGCACAACCTAGTAGATATGTGTTATAAAAATATGAGTGATCAAAATAACTTTCCTTTTCAAAATATATTTAATGATGAATTTGAAGCATTAAATTCTGCAAACAAATTCAGTCGGTATGATATGGATAGACTAAGCCAATTAAAATTTAATCCTTTCCGTCTCAACCAAAATATAATGTTTTCCGGTAATAATGAAGATCTTGACGCATCTTTCACTACAAACAACATAAAGTGCGACTAAAAATCTGAATAGACAAGAAATTTTTTCGCTTTGTCATTTAAACGTAAGGAGTATTTCAAACAAGTTTGATTCTTTTAAAAGTTTAATAAACACTCTACATTTACCTTTTCAAGTGATAGGACTAACTGAAACGTGGCTTAATGAAAACAATATGGATTGTTTTTCTTTGAATGATTTCGAGTACCTAGGCCAAACAGACCAAAAAAGAAAGGCAGAGGTGTAGGTTTTTATGTTTATAAACACCTCAAGTTTAAAAGTCGTAATAACCTAACTAAAAATCTAGAAGACATCATTGAAACTAAGTTCATTGAAATAACAAACAATGATGGTAAAAATATCATTATTGGAGTAATTTATAGACCCATGTTATAGGCAAAGAGAGATGCAAATAAATTACCACAGCCAGAAAGTATGGCGCTTTTTCAGGTTCAAAATGCAATCCTATAAATTTGTCGATTCTGTCTTTGGAAGAGTAGCTATTTGACGTGTATATATGAATTTGTCGAATAAAAGTTCCATAAATTCTTGAATTGGTCGAATTAAAATAAACAACTGTTCATGACTTTGTTGATTGTTTAAATTCTTCGATAATGCCTTGGGGACTTGAGCCCGCAGATCTCGGAGAATTAATAAAGAAAATGAAAACGTCATTTAATTTTACTTAGAATTTTCACAAGATGGCACAGGCAAATGTAATAAGTTTGTATGCATCAAGACTAAGGCAGTCCCTTCTTTGATCTTTCCAGAAGATTGCAGTCCAGACGAAGAAGTTGTAGACTTCCTTATATATCACTTGGAACAAATATGTGGTCACTTGGCTTGAATGGGAAACAGATTTAACTCAACCTTCCATGCTATTTCAGAAGTTATTTCACTGATTCGAAATTTAAATTTAGAAAACGGAACAACTCTTCCCAACGTGTTAGAACAAAACAGAGCTAGCTCTGTGGGAAGACCGAAATTTGTTATCACCAGAGAACAACTGGTGTATATGCTCGAGTATGACATATCAGTATCTGACATTGCACATGCCCTTGGAGTTTCTAAAAGTACAATAAAAAGGCGACTTAGGGAATATGGTATTTCCATCCAAAACGAACAAGATGCTGTCATAACTGATTTAGCGCTGGATGGAATTGTAAGTGGTGTGCAAGGAGAATTCCCAAATGCTGGATATCGGCGAGTTTATTCTGTACTGAGGTCAAGATCAATAAAAGACACTCAGACGAGGGTTAGAGAATCAATGCACAGGGACAGATCCTGAAGTGTGGCAATGAGGTGACTGTCAATCACTCCTAGAAGAGTGTACAGTGTTAGAGGTCCTCTTTCCTTGTGGCATATAGACGGCAATCACAAACTCATTCGGTAATTTGTTAGAAATATCTTATCAGAATTAACCTATTTATTATATCTTTATTAAAATATTATGGGAAAATTTAATGTGCTTAATTACCTCTATTCCATAGATGGAGAATCGTTGTTCATGGGGGAGTTGATGGCTACACACGTATCTCAGTATATTTAAAGTGTGGTACCAATAACAAAGCTGAAACTGTGCTAGAATTGTTTCAGGTGTTGTGGCTGAATATGGGTTGCCATCAAGAATAAGATCTGACAAAGGAGGCGAAAATGTCCTTGTATCGTTATTTATGCTCAATCACCCCCTAAGAGGTCCAAGTTGAGGTAGCATGATTGTAGGTAAAAGTGTGCATAATCAGAGGATTGAGCGATTATGGAGAGACATCTTTGATGGGGTGCTGTATATATACTACCATCTCTTCTATCATTTGTAAGATTCCCTTATTATCGAAGTGCACTTATTTGCATTGCAATTGTCTATGTACCAAGAATAAATAATCATCTCCACATTTGGAAAGCAGGATATGTTTGCCATCATGTTGGGACTGCTGGAAACCGTTATACATCATTGGCTTGCTAAGAATGCAGTGAAATGGGCTTACTCATTTCAGGATTATGTGGAAAATGTCCCTGAGGTATTAAGTATTTCTAGATCAGTGGGCATTACCAAAACTGTGGATACCTTTCCTCTCACCTGAAAAAAAAGTATCATGTTTTCACATCAAAACATTCAGGAATGCAACCATATTGACATCATGGGAATGGTGACGTCTGATTGATCTGCGAGAAATTATGTACATGTGAGATTATCTAATAGTAGTTATGGCATTTTAGCAGTAAAGGCGTAGGAATGTAGACACAGTTTTAAAGGCAAGAGGAAGCATTCACAGCTTTGGTAATAAATACTATAACTTTGGATCATCTCAATTTTTGTATTCAATTGGAATCAAATAAGATTTTTTATGAATGAATTTTCATTTTAGGAGGAATTAGCATCGTGGCATTGATTATGATTCTGTGCCATTAGAATTAGATCAAGTAGACAATGTTACAGTTCCTGCTACAGCCATCCCATGTTCACATGAAAGATACCAAGACCTTGTCCAATTAATTAATTAACTTAGGCAGAGTGATAACTATGGAATTGATATTCTCTTGGATGTTCTGCTTTTTCTACAAGAATCAGCATAGACATATAAAAATAAAGGGGGAGATGATGCATTATAAGATTTAGTATTTATTGAACTGTTCCTTTATTAAAATTCTACTTTTTTCTATAATCATATGTGCTTACATAACAAAGTAGAGCAATAAACCAAACAATAGTTTTTCATTATAGCCAGATTCTGGTGAGAAGATAACCAAATGGACCAATAATAACAAACATGAAAACTAAAAATGCAACAGTCATTGATGAATCTCAAAAATAAACACAACGGATTGTTTCATTGTGTGATTCAGGGTGCATTGAATGATGGGCCAACATCCATTATGGCTGTTTGCATGGCTTCTTTGAAATCGTCGTAAAATGGAACTTCATCTGGCAAGTGTAGAGATTTTAGGCAACAATTTCTCCATCTGTTGTATCAAATTTGACAGCAATCGATGTTAAACCTGACACACTGGCAGCACCAGTTGTAAATGACAAAAAATTTTCAAGTTCTGAAACAAATGAGTTAAAGAAATAGTTTATATTTGTAGCACCATTTTTTTCCAGAGGAAAACCTTATTTTTCCTTATTTAAAGACATGTAAAGTCCGTAATGTAAACAAACACTTTGTTTACATTTTGAACTCAGTGCTACAGTTGTAAAATATGATTAGATATATTAATATTATACTGAATTTTTAACACTCTTCTGGTTCGCTATGCTTGTAAATGAATACAGACTAGAGATTCAATTCAAGAAAGTTCGAAAGATATGAAATATTAACATGCCAACGGTCAGGTCCTGACCATTGGAATGTAAGCCTGCGCAGAACGGACTTTACATGGTCTTTAATTAATCACAAAACTCATGGTCTTTAATTAATCACTCACTTAGTTACCAGGTAAAACTCTATGTCCATACTAGGTAGTAGGTAGCCAGACTGTGCTTACAGATAAAATTGAAGTGCTTCCAATATCTGAAAGTATGTTAATGAAGGTACTATCCCCATTTAGTTCATCCACATCCAACTTTGAACTTGCCTTGACAACCTTTAACAATAGAAGAAATTTAATGGTTCAGAAAGTAAAATCAGTTTATTGAAGCCAATTTACCAGTTTATACATTACCAAACAACAAAACCCTAATAAAAAATAAGCCTAAATTTGGCAAGAAGCAATAATTTAGATCGAGATATTTTCCATATATGGAACAAATTTTTCTATATTCACCTTCTGTAGACATGCTGCAACGTCTGGATCATGCACATCAGACAATTCTGCAAATGAAATTGCCTTACTGATATCACCATATACAATGTACCAGTAGCACACTGGGGATAGCCTAGTTATATCAATTCCACATTGGGAAATGGACTGTGCAATCATTTTTCCAATGGCCTCCATAATGCCAGAGAAAACAATCTGGCTGCTATAGGTTGGTTAAAGCCTTGTAGGAGGCCCATCAAAAACTCTAAAACCACTGTCATCCCCATTTGCAGCCATTTTTGCCTACACCTTGTCGAAGAATTCCCAACTAACGCCCCCTGCTGGCTGGTTAGCAAACGTTATTCGCAAAGAACGGGATGCATCAAATCCTGGATCTTTGTATATAACAAGAGCATCAGATAACATGAGGTTGTCATCAGTTGTAACTCTTAAGAAAGGCCCATTCAGCTTTTTCCCAAGACTTTTGATAATAGATGAAATGTCTAAAAATATGATTTAAAAATTAATAACATGTAATAGCAGTAATTTAATAAATACATTACAGTATATATGATTGTTATTGTGCTATAGCCAATACATGCTCTATTGGGTCAGGCCTTAAAATATCGGTTGGTCACGGACATTGTCCGACCCATTTGTAAAATTGTCCGACATATAGAGGAAAACACCGGACATTCTGTCCAACCAAAGTGAAACTGAGGTTTATTGTTTGTTCGACCCGAGTGTATTGGTGTCTGACTGAACTGTAGCTAATTTGTCCAACGTAAATCAAAATGTACCCTAGCCCAGGACTAGAGCCTTGTATGTTAAATTGAAAATCAGATGTAGTGACGTAATGATGTAGTTGAGGGCGGGGCAGCGAGCGAAATGGTGAAGTGGAAAATGGGCTTAAGTTGTTGAAGTCTTTTTTAATACTGCTGTTCTGGCAAGCAAGTTAATTTTGGCTTGGAAATAAATATGAAAGAAACAAATTACAGAATTAATACATCATGCTGATATTCATTTGTGACATTCAGACTTATTTCCGAGCCAAAACTGAAGGTCATCGGACAGATGTCCGACCCAAACTCTACGTCATTGGACATTTTGTCAGACAGCCCTGTAAAATAGATTTTAAGCCGGCCTGCTCTATTGGGTGCGATCATTAATTGTTAACTTTTCATGCTTACCAATATTTTTATTATTTTGGGCACGTAATAGCATTGTGACCAATGGGTGATTTAATTCCTCATCTTCACTGGTATCATCACTGTCAATTGATACTGAAAACAATCTAATGATTAATTAATTTCCAACAAAAAAAATTATCTAAGTTTCTGGATCAACTCTAAGACTTCTTCAGAAAAAGAAAAATACATACTCCATTTCAATATCATGAAGCAATGAACTAATTTGAACTCTGTACCGGGTACATATGTTGTGTGAAACACTAGCTTGTTGATTATCTTGTTCCACTTGTTTCTGGAAATCATCCATCAATAAACAGTAAAAAGGTCAATTAAGAATATTAAAAGAAATTGTTTTTGCAAAACAATCCATTTTTATTATTTAAGAGCAAGGATCATGTCTAATTGTCTCTGAGGTCTATTCTCATGTTTAGTATTATAATGAAAAGGGTGCACTTTGGCAGGTAGTATGGGGGTGTTCCAATGCTCATTTCTACTTGGCTCCAAAAAGTTGGTAGCCTTAGTTTTGACTCTTCATAAAGCAAATTATAATGTTATAGAAAAATTATATCTAAAATTTGTTTTGTAAGATTAAGCTTTAAATTATCTCTTCAAACTTCTAGCTTAAAAATTATTCACCTTTGTCTAAAACAATGTCAACAGCTTTATTGATATCTCCCATCACTTCCATACAAGCTGCACTCAATTGAGCTTGTTCAGCATGTGGAAATATATTCTGCAAAGCTTCAATTTTCTCTGTACAACAAAAAAATTAGGAAACATTAAACTCAACAAAATGCATGCCTTCAACAAATTGCACAATAATGTCAACTTTGATATTTCAGCACACATTTTAACAAATTACCTTGATCTTCTTTTCCTTGTTCTGATTGCATACAGACATAGTCAGTTATTGGAATTTGCACTGGACTATCACAACTATAAAATGTAAAATACATAATAAATACATATATAAAGTCATTATAATATAGTCATCCACCGTATATGAGCTGTTCTGCAATCTGATTGGTTGAATTACTTGCCCTATATCAGCTCATATACGGCGAGTAGCGAAAAACAAGATGGCGGTCCAAAAACCACATGCGAAGCGGAAAATATTTGCTTTGAGAAGCATAATAGTACAAGGAAAAACTCTCAAAAAAAAAATTTGACAGGTTAGCAAAATACATTTATTACGTAGAAATTAGTTTAAATACAAGTTTTTCAAAGAATTAATACCGAAACAACAGCGAAAAAACATGTTCATTGAGAATATAAATTGTTCAGAAAATATGTTTGTGATGTTACTCTGAGTGCATATCCGCACCGGGCACGACGCTCTTCCGATCTCCGGCCACGGTGGGATTCGAACCTACGACCTTTGGAATACTAGCCCAATGCTCTTCCAACTGAGCTACGCGGTCAGGACGGTTCGAGTAAGTGATATTTCGGAACAGTATCTAGTTCCTTCAATACCAATGTGTTCTAGTAATATGAATTTTTTTTCTGTGTTGGTGTTGTGTACTCAGGTGAATAATATGTTTGCGATGTTACTCTGAGTGCATATCCACACCGGGCGAGCTTGAAAAATATGCCCGCCCACAGTGGGATTCGAACCTACGACCTTTGGAATACTAGCCCAATGTTCTTCCAACTGAGCTACGCGGTCAGGACGGTTTGAGTAAGTGATATTTCGGAACAGTATCTAGTTCCTTCAATACCAATATGTTCTAGTAATATGAATTTTTTTTCTCTGTGTTGGTGTTGTGTACTCAGGTGAATAATATGTTTGCGCTGTTACTCTGAGTGCATATCCACACCGGGCGAGCTTGAAAAATATGCCCGGCCACGGTAGGATTCGAACCTACGACCTTTGGAATACTAGCCCAATGCTCTTCCAACTGAGCTACACGGTGAGGACGGTTCGAGTAAGTGATATTTCGGAACAGTATCTAGTTCTTTCAATACCAATATGTTCTAGTAATATGAAGTTTTTTTTCTCTGTGTTCGTGTTGTGTACTCAGGTGAATAATATGTTTGCGATGTTACTCTGAGTGGATATCCACACCGGGCGAGCATGAAAAATATGCCCGACCACGGTACGATTCGAACCTACGACCCTTGGAATACTAGCCCAATGCTCTTCCAACTGAGCTACGCGGTGAGGACGGTTCGAGTAAGTGATATTTCGGAACAGTATCTAGTTCCTTCAATACCAATATGTTCTAGTAATATGAATTTTTTTTTCTCGGTGTTGGTGTTGTGTACTCAGGTGAATAATATGTTTCCCATGTTACTCTGAGTGCATATCCACACCGGGCGAGCTTGAAAAATATGCCCGGCCACGGTAGGATTCGAACCTACGACCTTTGGAATACTGGCCCAATGCTCTTCCAACTGAGCTACGCGGTCAGGACGGTTCGAGTAAGTGATATTTCGGAACAGTATCTAGTTCCTTCAATACCAATATGTTCTACTAATATGAATTTTTTTTTTCTGTGTTGGTGTTGTCTACTCAGGTGAATAATATGTTTGCGATGTTACTCTGGGTGCATATCCACACCGGGCGAGCTTGAAAAATATGCCCGGCCACGGTGGGATTCGAACCTACGACCTTTGGAATACTAGCCCAATGCTCTTCCAACTGAGCTACGCGGTGAGGACGGTTCGAGTAAGTGATATTTCGGAACAGTATCTAGTTCCTTCAATACCAATATGTTCTAGTAATATGAATTTTTTTTTCTCTGTGTTGGTGCTGTGTACTCAGGTGAATAATATGTTTGCGATGTTACTCTGAGTGCATATCCACACCGGGCGAGCTTGAAAAATATGCCCGGCCACGGTGGGATTCGAACCTACGACCTTTGGAATACCAGCCCAATGCTCTTCCAACCGAGCTACGCGGTCAGGACGGTTCGAGTAAGTGATATTTCGGAACAGTATCTAGTTCCTTCAATACCAATATGTTCTAGGAATATGAATTTTTTTTTCTCTGTGTTGGTGTTGTGTACTCAGGTGAATAATATGTTTGCGATGTTACTCTGAGTGGATATCCACACCGGGCGATCTTGAAAAATATGCCCGACCACGGTACGATTCGAACCTACGACCTTTGGAATACTAGCCCAATGCTCTTCCAACTGAGCTACGCGGTCAGGACGGTTCGAGTAAGTGATATTTCGGAACAGTATCTGGTTCCTTCAATACCAATATGTTCTGGTAATATGAATTTTTTTTTTCTCTGTGTTGGTGTTGTGTACTCAGGTGAATAATATGTTTGCCATGTTACTCTGAGTGCATATCCACACCGGGCGAGCTTGAAAAATATGCCCGGCCACGGTGGGATTCGAACCTACGACCTTTGGAATACTAACCCAATGCTCTTCCAACTGAGCTACGCGGGGAGGACGGTTCGAGTAACTGATATTTCGGAACAGTATCTAGTTCTTTCAAAACCAATATGTTCTAGTAATATGATTTTTTTTTTCTCTGTGTTGGTGTTGTGTACTCAGGTGAATAATATGTTTGCGATGTTACTCTGAGTGGATATCCACACCGGGCGAGCATGAAAAATATGCCCGACCACGGTAGGATTCGAACCTACGACCTTTGGAATACTAGCCCAATGCTCTTCCAACTGAGCTACGCGGTGAGGACGGTTCGAGTAAGTGATATTTCGGAACAGTATCTAGTTCCTTCAATACCAATATGTTCTAGTAACATGAATTTTTTTTTCTCGGTGTTGGTGTTGTGTACTCAGGTGAATAATATGTTTGCGCTGTTACTCTGAGTGCATATCCACACCGGGCGAGCTTGAAAAATATGCCTGGCCACGGTAGGATTCGAACCTACGACCTTTGGAATACTAGCCCAATGCTCTTCCAACTGAGCTACGCGGTCAGGACGGTTTGAGTAAGTGATATTTCAGAACAGTATGCTGTTCCTTCAATACCAATATGTTCTAGTAATATGAATTTTTTTTTCTCTGTGTTGGTGTTGTGTACTCAGGTGAATAATATGTTTGCGATGTTACTCTGAGTGCATATCCATACCGGGCGAGCTTGAAAAATATGCCCGGCCACGGTGGGATTCGAACCTACGACCTTTGGAATACTGGCCCAATGCTCTTCCAACTGAGCTACGCGGTCAGGACGGTTCGAGTAAGTGATATTTCGGAACAGTATCTAGTTCCTTCAATACCAATATGTTCTAGTAATATGAATTTTTTTTTTCTGTGTTGGTGTTGTGTACTCAGGTGAATAATATGTTTGCCATGTTACTCTGAGTGCATATCCACACCGGGCGAGCTTGAAAAATATGCCCGGCCACGGTGGGATTCGAACCTACGACCTTTGGAATACTAGCCCAATGCTCTTCCAACTGAGCTACACGGTGAGGACGGTTCGAGTAAGTGATATTTCGGAACAGTATCTAGTTCTTTCAATACCAATATGTTCTAGTAATATGAAGTTTTTTTTCTCTGTGTTCGTGTTGTGTACTCAGGTGAATAATATGTTTGCGATGTTACTCTGAGTGGATATCCACACCGGGCGAGCTTGAAAAATATGCCCGACCACGGTACGATTCGAACCTACGACCTTTGGAATACTAGCCCAATGCTCTTCCAACTGAGCTACGCGGTCAGGACGGTTCGAGTAAGTGATATTTCGGAACAGTATCTGGTTCCTTCAATACCAATATGTTCTAGTAATATGAATTTTTTTTGTCTGTGTTGGTGTTGTGTACTCAGGTGAATAATATGTTTGCCATGTTACTCTGAGTGCATATGCACACCGGGCGAGCTTGAAAAATATGCCCGGCCATGGTGGGATTCGAACCTACGACCTTTGGAATACTAACCCAATGCTCTTCCAACTGAGCTACGCGGTGAGGACGGTTCGAGTAACTGATATTTCGGAACAGTATCTAGTTCTTTCAAAACCAATATGTTCTAGTAATATGATTTTTTTTTTCTCTGTGTTGGTGTTGTCTACTCAGGTGAATAATATGTTTGCGATGTTACTCTGAGTGGATATCCACACCGGGCGAGCTTGAAAAATGTGCCCGGCCACGGTAGGATTCGAACCTACGACCTTTGGAATACTGGCCCAATGCTCTTCCAACTGAGCTACGCGGTCAGGACGGTTCGAGTAAGTGATATTTCGGAACAGTATCTAGTTGCTTCAATACGAATATGTTCTAGTAATATGAATTTTTTTTTTCTGTGTTGGTGTTGTGTACTCAGGTGAATAATATGTTTGCGCTGTTACTCTGAGTGCATATCCACACCGGGCGAGCTTGAAAAATATGCCCGACCACGGTAGGATTCGAACCTACGACCTTTGGAATACTAGCCCAATGCTCTTCCAACTGAGCTACGCGGTCAGGACGGTTCGAGTAAGTGATATTTCGGCACAGTATCTAGTTCCTTCAATACCAATATGTTCTAGTAATATGAATTTTTTCTTCTCTGTGTTGGTGTTCTGTACTCAGGTGAATAATATGTTTGCGATGTTACTCTGAGTGCATATCCACACCGGGCGACCTTCAAAAATATGCCCGGCCACGGTAGGATTCGAACCTCGACCTTTGGAATACTAGCCCAATGCTCTTCCAACCGAGCTACGCGGTCAGGACGGTTCGAGTAAGTGATATTTCGGAACAGTATCTAGTTCCTTCAATACCAATGTGTTCTTGTAATATGAATTTTTTTTCTGTGTTGGTGTTGTGTACTCAGGTGAATAATATGTTTGCGATGTTACTCTGAGTGCATATCCACACCGGGAGAGCTTGAAAAACATGCCCGGCCACGGCCAGACTCGAACCTACGACCTTTGGAATACTAGCCCAATGCTCTTCCAACTGAGCTATGCGGTCAGGACAGTTCGAGTAAGTGATATTTCGGAACAGTATCTAGTTCCTTCAATACCAATATGTTCTAGTAATATGAATTTTTTTTCTCTGTGTTGGTGTTGTGTACTCAGGTGAATAATATGTTTGCGCTGTTACTCTGAGTGCATATCCACACCGGGCGACCTTGAAAAATATGCCCGGCCACGGTAGGATTCGAACCTACGACCTTTGGAATACTAGCCCAATGCTCGTCCAACTGAGCTACGCGGTCAGGACGGTTCGAGTAAGTGATATTTCGGCACAGTATCTAGTTCCTTCAATACCAATATGTTCTAGTAATAGGAATTTTTTTCTTCTCTGTGTTGGTGTTCTGTACTCAGGTGAATAATATGTTTGCGATGTTACTCTGAGTGCATATCCACACCGGGCGAGCTTGAAATATATGCCCGGCCACGGTAGGATTCGAACCTACGACCTTTGGAATACTGGCCCAATGCTCTTCCAACTGAGCTACGCGGTCAGGACGGTTCGAGTAAGTGATATTTCGGAACAGTATCTAGTTCCTTCAATACCAATGTGTTCTGGTAATATGAATTTTTCTGTGTTGGTGTTGTGTACTCAGGTGAATAATATGTTTGCGATGTTACTCTGAGTGCATATCCACACTGGGCGAGCTTGAAAAATATGCCCGGCCACGGTAGCATTCGAACCTACGACCTTTGGAATACTAGCCCAATGCTCTTCCAACTGAGCTACGCGGTCAGGACGGTTCGAGTAAGTGATATTTCGGCACAGTATCTAGTTCCTTCAATACCAATATGTTCTAGTAATATGAATTTTTTTCTTTTCTGTGTTGGTGTTCTGTACTCAGGTGAATAATATGTTTGCGATGTTTCTCTGAGTGCATATCCACACCGGGTAGCTTGAAAAACATGCCCGGCCACGGCCCGACTCGAACCTACGACCTTTGGAATACTAGCCCAATGCTCTTCCAACTGGGCTATGCGGTCAGGACGGTTCGAGTAAGTGATATTTCGGAACAGTATCTAGTTCCTTCAATACCAATATGTTCTAGTAATCTGAATTTTTTTCTGTGTTGGTGTTGTGTACTTAGGTGAATAATATGTTTGCGCTGTTACTCTGAGTGCATATCCACACCGGGCGACCTTGAAAAATATGCCCGGCCACGGTAGGATTCGAACCTACGACCTTTTTAATACTAGCCCAATGCTCTTCCAACTGAGCTACGCAGTCAGGACGGTTCGAGTAAGTGATATTTCGGAACAGTATCTGGTTCCTTCAATACCAATATCTTCTAGTAATATGAATTTTTTTTTTCTCTGTGTTGGTTTTGTGTACTCAGGTGAATAATATGTTTGCCATGTTACTCTGAGTGCATATCCACACCGGGCGAGCTTGAAAATATGCCCGGCCACGGTGGGATTCGAACCTACGACCTTTGGAATACTAGCCCAATGCTCTTCCAACTGAGCTATGCGGTCAGGACGGTTCGAGTAAGTGATATTTCGGAACAGTATCTAGTTCCTTCAATACCAATATGTTCTAGTAATATGAATTTTTTTTTCTGTGTTGGTGTTGTGTACTCAGGTGAATAATATGTTTGCGCTGTTACTCTGAGTGTATATCCACACCGGGCGACCTTGAAAAATATGCCCGGCCACGGTAGGATTCGAACCTACGACCTTTGGAATACTAGCCCAATGCTCTTCCAACTGAGCTACGCAGTCAGCACAGTTCGAGTAAGTGATATTTCGGAACAGTATCTGGTTCCTTCAATACCAATATCTTCTAGTAATATGAATTTTTTTTTTCTCGGTGTTGGTGTTGTGTACTCAGGTGAATAATATGTTTGCCATGTTACTCTGAGTGCATATCCACACCGGGCAAGCTTGAAAATATGCCCGGCCACGGCCCGACTCGAACCTACAACCTTTGGAATGCTAGCCCAATGCTCTTCCAACTGAGCTATGCGGTCACGACGGTTCGAGTAAGTGATATTTCGGAACAGTATCTAGTTCCTTCAATACCAATATGTTCTAGTAATATGAATTATTTTTTTCTGTGTTGGTGTTGTTGTGTACTCACGTGAATAATATGTTTGCGCTGTTACTCTGAGTGCATATCCACACCGGGCGACCTTGAAAAATATGCCCGGCCACGGTAGGATTCGAACCTACGACCTTTGGAATACTAGCCCAATGCTCTTCCAACTGAGCTATGCGGTCAGGACGGTTCGAGTAAGTGATATTTCGGAACAGTATCTAGTTCCTTCAATACCAATATGTTCTAGTAATATGAATTTTTTTTTCTGTGTTGATGTTGTGTACTCAGGTGAATAATATGTTTGCGATGTTACTCTGAGTGCATATCCACACCGGGCGAGCTTGAAAAATATGCCCGGCCACGGTGGGATTCGAACCTACGACCTTTGGAATACTAGCCCAATGCTCTTCCAACTGAGCTACGCAGTCAGGACGGTTCGAGTAAGTGATATTTCGGAACAGTATCTGGTTCCTTCAATACCAATATCTTCTAGTAATATGAATTTTTTTTTTCTCTGTGTTGGTGTTGTGTACTCAGGTGAATAATATGTTTGCGCTGTTACTCTGAGTGCATATCCACACCGGGCGAGCTTGAAAAATATGCCCGGCCACGGTGGGATTCGAACCTACGACCTTTGGAATACTAGCCCAATGCTCTTCCAACTGAGCTACGCGGTCAGGACGGTTCGAGTAAGTGATATTTCGGAACAGTATCTAGTTCCTTCAATACCAATGTGTTCTTGTAATATGAATTTTTTTTTCTGTGTTGGTGTTGTGTACTCAGGTGAATAATATGTTCGCGATGTTACTCTGAGTGCATATCCACACCGGGCGAGCTTGAAAAACATGCCCGACCACGGTGGGATTCGAACCTACGACCTTTGGAATACTAGCCCAATGCTCTTCCAACTGAGCTACGCGGTCAGGACGGTTCGAGTAAGTGATATTTCGGAACAGTATCTAGTTCCTTCAATACCAATATGTTCTAGTAATATGAATTTTTTTCTTCTTGTGTTGGTGTTCTGTACTCAGGTGAATAATATGTTTGCCATGTTATCTGAGTGCATATCCACACCGGGCGAGCTTGAAAAACATGCCCGGCCACAGCCCGACTCGAACCTACGACCTTTGGAATACTAGCCCAATGCTCTTCCAACTGAGCTACGCGGTGAGGACGGTTCGAGTAAGTGATATTTCGGAACAGTATCTAGTTCCTTCAATACCAATATGTTCTAGTAATATGAATTTTTTTTTTCTGTGTTGGTGTTGTGTACTGAGGGGAATAATATGTTTGCGATGTTACTCTGAGTGCATATCCACACTGGGCGAGCTTGAAAAATATGCCCGGCCATGGTAGGATTCGAACCTACGACCTTTGGAATACTAGCCCAATGCTCTTCCAACTGAGCTACGCGGTCAGGACGGTTCGAGTAAGTGATATTTCGGCACAGTATCTAGTTCCTTCAATACCAATATGTTCTAGTAATATGAATTTTTTTCTTCTCTGTTTTGGTGTTCTGTACTCAGGTGAATAATATGTTTGCCATGTTATCTGAGTGCATATCCACACCGGGAGAGCTTGAAAAACATGCCCGGCCACGGCCCGACTCGAACCTACGACCTTTGGAATACTAGCCCAATGCTCTTCCAACTGAGCTATGCGGTCAGGACGGTTCAAGTAAGTGATATTTCGGAACAGTATCTAGTTCCTTCAATACCAATATGTTCTAGTAATATGAATTTTTTTTTTCTGTGTTGGTGTTGTGTACTCAGGTGAATAATATGTTCGCGCTGTTACTCTGAGTGCATATCCACACCGGGTGACCTTGAAAAATATGCCCGGCCACGGTAGGATTCGAACCTACGACCTTTGGAATACTAGCCCAATGCTCTTCCAACTGAGCTACGCGGTCAGGACGGTTCGAGTAAGTGATATTTCGGCACAGTATCTAGTTCCTTCAATAC